TTATATAAGTTTACATTAAAAACGACTTAGAAGTCACCTTTAATCAATTAATAAAAATTTACATTTTCAAAATGAATTAGGATGGCAATAAGTTTTATTTGTAAGTTACATAATGAAATTTTGTAAATAAAAGTTATTGAAAAAAGGAGTTTTTCAAGAAGTAATGACTTTTTAAAATCAATTGGCTCAATATTTTATTATTATTAATTTCATATTTTACCAAATTAAAGTTTGTTTATTAAATATTATTAAGTTGGCCATGACATTGACAAATGATATTGTTTAAATGTCATATACTTATATATATATTAATTATGTCAATAAATTTTTATGAATTAATTCTTTTGAAATTAAAATAATAATTTAATTGGTTAAAGTAATATTCGTTTATTATAATATCGAATAATGATATAAGAAAGAGTTCCTATTATCGTTATAATTATTTTTGTTTAAATTTTTCTCCTGGGCTATCTACAAAAATATCAGTTAGCATCCGACTATTTTTATGATAAAATTGAAAATTCATTTAAAATATTTAAGCTTCATATATTATTCTTATGTATTTACAAAATTCATTACCTATTAGATCAACTTTATAATCCAAGAAGCAAAAAAATCAAAATTCGTTTTAGCGTGTATTTTATCAAAATATAAAATTTTCATTATACGAATTGTTCATTATTTTCTTATGCATTTTTGAGTTTTCATATTCTCTCAGAGTCTCAGTTGACTAGTTAATGTACTGAATCCCAAAATTAAACGAAATGTATCTCTCTCCACTTGTAGTTTCTAATAAGTGAGACTCGTTAAAGTACCGACTATGAGATAGTTTCAGTACTTATGATATCCTGAAATGAAATTTTCCAAATCCCGAGTCATTTATAATTTTGCTGGTGCTTCAAGGAAAATGGTGATCAATCTGCAGTTTATATTACTACGTTTTATTGTCAAACAAAACAAAGCTCAGTATGATCTTATATATCAATTTCATTTCATTATATTATATTCGTGAAAAATTAAACAAATTAAGTATAAAAATGAAAAATTTAGGAAAATTTTAATTTTAATTTTAATATAAATAGTATTTACATAGGCTTAAGCTTAAATTTATTGTAATTCTTAATTAATAAATAAATGGTATATTGTCTATTATTGTACGAAGATTCCATAAATTCATTATGTATTTTTATTTAAAGTTTTTTTTTTTTTTAATTTATCAGCAGATTTGACATTTTACTTGCATTCTAATTTTTAAAATAAAATTTATATAAAAAAAATAATTTATTACAACCTTTACATCATGGGGAATGTATTTAAAAAATTTTTTGATAATAATATTTATAGAATATTAACTTACAAATTAAAATTTAATTGTTAATATGTTTTACTACTGGTTCTTTCAATTTATACAATAAATTAATAACCTCACAATATACTGTAAAAATAGATTTTTCCAAAATAGAAAAGCATTAAAATGTGCAAAAATGTATACGAATGAGTAGATGAAAATATTGAGAATATTTCGACCTCCAGTTTATATGAAAGTTTCCAGTAGAAGTATAGAACTCAATAAAGAATGGGAGCAGTGAAACAAGCAAAAATTCGCATGTAGTATA